GCTTCACCCTGCCTTACCTCGCCAACCCTGCCGTATTTTCTACCACCATTGTTGCTAAGAGCAAGCGTAAACAAATGCATTGTTGCGTTCTCTCGGCTAACATCCAGTATCAATTTTGACATGCAATTACTCTCAGCCTAATGGCGACATAAGAATGAAGTAAAATTCATTTATTACGAAATTTATGAGATTTCAGAAATGTCTGATTAACTTTTGTAAATTTACTCATTCTTTCCAAGAAACGAAAAGAGTGTACACTTAAATTTATCTCTAAGAAGTAGGAAAAGAGCATAAAAGGAATTTTACGAAATCTCAAGGAAACTAACTTTTATCTTGTTTTGTAGGTCACGTGTACAAATTGCATTACAATCGGAATAAAACTGTAGAGTTGTATTACAAACAAACATTCTTTGTATGCAAAAAAAGAAAACATTTATTTGAAAAGATTAGTTGGTAGGTTGTTAGTGATTCCAGGCGCGTTAACTACTGAAGTCATCTGACCCGTACGTGTAGTGCATGCTTTTTTCCTCTGGAAGTGGTGGTGATCTTCTCTCGCTGGATGGCGAGATCCGGCGCCGACCTAACGTTGGGAAGTGGGGTTTCCTTCAACCAGGTATCTCCCATCATCGGGGCACCGCCCCAGCCGGGACAAGCTCTAAGCTCCAGACTAGTCTCCCGACGTGCGTGGTAGTGTAATGCATGTTTGTGTAAGTGTGTGTGTGTAAGGGGTGAGAATGTAAGGAAGAGGAAGGAAAGATCGCGCTCGGTCCGTGGTCTTTTTGTTTGGACACTGCTCCGTAAGTCACCTACTGTTGATCGGAGAAACCACGGAAAACATACCGATCAGACAAGCCGCCCTCTAGAATTCTCGTCCATACAGTGACTGAATTCGACCTAGCTGACAAGCTATTGTAAAAAAAATTGCCACTGTCGGGACTAGAACTTACAACAACTCGCCAAAAAACACTGCAGTGACATCAGCTAATGCACTAAGCCACCTCTCCGGGATTTGTGAAGAGTAACCTTCAATTATACCCGAAAAATCCCTAACTTTCAGAGAAAACCGCATCAAAATACGTTCAGTCGCTCCAGATATTACCCCGGACAAATACAAATTATGAAACCAATCGAATGGTTTTTGAATCGTGTAAATGACGATAAGAGATTACAAAATTCCTTTATTTTTAAATTTCACACTCGCATTTTATCAACAGAAGAAAGCAGATACCTGAGTTTTACAAGAAATATTTATAAATATCTCCTTCGTAAATATTTTGCCTTAAGGTCTTAAAAATGGTTAACTGTAATAATTTTACAACTGTCTTACATATCCCAAAATGCGTTTTCTGGGTATAACGTTGTTGGAAAATGAAACAAAAAATTAACTTTCACAAAGTTCTATCCTTCCTTTCAGTATTTATGACATTTTCTTCTGAGTTAACTTCGACCCGCCTTTTCCAGAATGTCTCAAGACCATGTTGGAAACAATGACAAAACGTATTACTATATCAAATGTCCTTGTCAATTCAGCCAGTCAGACAGAAGCTAATAAGCAAACCAAATGCATGGTTATGTAACGTATTAGCCAGCGTGCCTCATGGCATCTATTTGGGGACGCTTGGTTGCGGATTAGTCTCGCCACAGGAAGTAGGGTTTTTCCGTAAAGGGAAGAACGCGGAGACGGGAGACACAAGGCTTTGGGTGTCTTCCGGCTTATAGAAGCTTTTCACTGTTATAACAAGCGAAGGGTGGCGTGACGTAGGAGGTCACGTGGGCCTCGCCTATATAACAGAGTGTACGGAGCCAGTAGGCAGGTTCTGGAGACGGTGGGAGAACCTCGTGCGTGTGCACAAAACTTGGCGCCTAGACGGCGCCTATGCGAGCCAGGCTTGCGAGGCTGGAGTCATTAGTTGACGAAGCCTGCGGACTTTATGTCCTTGGGTGACTGCGGTCACGGGGGAGCGATGCTGTGTGCGTGCTCCGAGGTGAAGAGTGGTTGAGTGCCACGATTCACGCCGATTCTCAATCGGATAAGATCGCTCCTGCGATCGAGGCAAACCAGCCGTTGGTGCGCCAGAACGGACTTTGTGTCCCAGCGTGACATCCGGTCACGGAAGGTAGGCTTTGTGCGCGCTTCAAAAGTAGGAGTGGCGAATGCCACAATCAAAACAATCTTCAATCGGGTTTTGGATCGCTCCCGCGATCAGGGGATAGTAGGTCTATCAGAGCTAGGGTGTAAGTAGATTATTAAGTGTATATATTTGTTTTGTTTTCTTGTTAATAAATATATTTGTTATACGAAAGCTCTGTGTCTGTGGTCGCTGTGAGTATCCATGACGTCACAATAGCAACTATCTACCTGCGTTTGTGCGTGACAACAGCAACACACACACTTCGGTCAGGAAAGAGATCTGCAACAGCTTATCCCGAGAGTAGCGCTCGGGATAAGCAACAGTTATTTGGCCTTGGCATATAGGGAATACAGGAGCAATCCAATTCGCCTCCCGCAAAAGTCTGAAAGCTCCATATGAAGTCCATCTGAGATAAAACAATGCTGATGGTCTCTTATTTACAAATATTCTCATTTCACGTCAATTAGATGAGGTAATGTCCCTCTCGATCAGGGTTTTCCTCCAGTTTCCCCTGTTCCTTTCAACGAAGGCTCAAATTGCCGCTTGTTTTGCTTCTGGACATAAATATCTGTAACTTCAATATATGTGCATATTTCTAGGTTTCAATAGGAAATATTGAAAAATTGATTTATCTAAAAGTTTATAATTGAAATTATCGTTCTCCATGTGCTCGCCGCAGTCTAGAACAGAAGCTTCCAGCCTTTCTGAAGTCACAATGAGGGATAAGAACCTCAAACTATAGATTTACCTTTGCAGTTTTTATTACATGGGAGATAATTTTTTTTATCAATTGTTGTCAAAAAATCTTTCGTTTCCATCTACATTCAAAATTCAACTTCTATGTGAGTTAGGGTAGAGTCCCGTATTTCAGAAACGAGCACAATTCATATCTCCTGATAGTAGGTCATGCATAGTTTTTAACTGTTTGTGACTTTAAATAATAAATAAAAATACGTTAAATAATAAACATAAATAAATACAATATGCAACCATAGTTATATTGAGTATCATAATGAATTAACAGTATCTGATAATTGAGTGGAGCCCTTGTGAGGCTGAAGGCTTCTTAAGTAAAGAAAAGTAGTAGTGGAGGGGGCACTGCGCGGTAGAAGGAGAAGAAAGGTGAGAGGGGGCAGGAGGGAGAGTTACATAAGATTCGCTATGCGTTTGGCGAGAAAGGAGAGAAAGCTGCTAAAAGGAAAGGGATCAGGAAATGATGTTATGTTGAGTGATAATCCAAAACTGAAATTAAATTAAATGAAATTTCTCAACAACCGCTCTTAAAGACGTGTAAACATGATTCGCTAAAATTTGAGACACAACAAGTAGTTTTTATAAAAAGATTTTTAAGAATATGTCTTGGATACCTTTTATTCTCACTAGTTAATACATACATTGATTTCAGTGAAGTTAATGCCTTGTTATGTGATTCCTCGATGATTCGTAAGAGAATTGTTTATGTGCATCTTTCTTTATATTTCTTCTATGTTCAGCAAAGTGCAACTTCAATTTTCTTTGTTTGTCCAATACACGCTGTCCGACAATCGGCTAATGCAATTTTATAAACTAAACATTGTTTTTCTTCCAACTTCCAGTCTTTAAGATTAGTTGCTATGTTTTTTTTTTTGTTTTTAATTTTTTAATTTACAACCCTATTCACTAAAGTCAAATTGAATTCATGTTTCAGTTATTTTTAGAGCGTAATTGATTTGTAGCAATAACGGTAGACTTACGAGTTTATCTAGTTTGTAATAAAGTACATTAGAGCTGCAAGTAGTTTGAATGTATTCATTTTGTTAATAAACAAGATTGGTTAATTATCTAAGTGAAGAACGGAAGTTACTTTTATAAGGTTTTAATTATGAAATTGGGGAGCCGAAATTATAAACGAAATTTTTAAAAAAAACTGGAATATTCGAGAGGCAGTTCAAGGTAAGGCCAGAATAATTTTGCTTCATAAACCAATTAATAAAGAGAGACGACTCGGTCCTGAAAATTGTTCTATCTAAAAGTTTATAATTGAGTCGCCTATTTTTCAATAGTAATCTCATGTTTATTGCATCTATTAAATTTTACGACTAAAGAATTTATTTGATATTGAGGGACGACTAGCAAAGTATCGCCCAAGTATCTAAGGAAGAAAATCTGTATCTGCAAAGGAAGAACTCAATTTTCTGTAGGACCTCCAATTCTAACTTAAGAATAACTATTTCATCCAAAGGAAATAATTTTGTAATATAATTGTTTTTTAATAATCAAATTATTTCGTTTACATTAATGTAATTACAGTGATTCTTAATATACGTGACCGACCCAAGAATTGGCTAAATAACCTAAAAAAATCGATAAAATGCTGGGCAAATGAACATTGAATTTTCGAAACTTTTTTTAAAGTATTCATAATATAAATTAATGTAGCGGAGTCCCGTCGGCAGTAGTGCCGTAGCGATCTCAAATCAAAGGATCCCGGGTTCGAGTCCCGCCTCGAGCATGGTTGTATTGTGTTTATCCTTTCACCCCTATCATTATCATATCGAGTCATTCTCATAGTCCATACCGTTGCACGCAATACTGGTCGCTAATGACCTAGAAGTTGATGCGACCTTATGTACGAAAACAACAAAAATGTAGCGGATACGAATATGTTGCATCGTAGAATGGTATTTTCACGTCTGAACGAGCCTTAAAGGAAAATGTAAAATACTTTAAAAACCAAGGTAATTGTTATGTCTGGAATAGAAACACTATCCTTCGTAAACGCGCGACACCAAGCTCACTGTGTTAGAGTGATGTGACCATAAAATATTCACCAGAATGTGTTCTTCAAAGAACAAATGATCGCTCCCATTAATCTGACGTTCAAAATAGCCCATCGTCAGCACCCGAACCCCCGACCTCTTATCCAAAAGGGGACAATCAGAAGCTCACAGAGCGCCGTCGGCGGCAGTGATCAAATACGAGTCAAAATCTATCTCCGGAGAAGAGTGCTGGCGAAGTGGTCAGGAGCAAATTTTTCGAGCTTCCTCTAGGGGCGGCGACAGGCCACGGACAGGCGGCCGACCAGCGGCGACGCCCAGCGGCAGAGGCGGGGGCGGCGGCGACGCGTCGCTTGGCGGAGAGCAAGCAAGAGCGAACGACGTGCCCTGGGCACCAGGAGAGGCGGCGGCGGCAGCCGTGATGGGTCGCGGAAAGCTGGCCCGGGTTTTCGGTGATGTAAAATGCATCCAGCGGACCGCTTCCTTCAGATAGCGCTCATATTTCAAACGGATTGTGCGGCTGAAGGATTGCATTAGTCTTTGTCGTCTGTTCCATTTCCAATTCTCATTTCACCTTCCCCCTTCCCGCGGCGATGCCCCTTCTCCCTTCCGCTCCCCAACTTGTTTCCTTTTCTTTCCTCATGTTATGTTTCATCCGAGGATTTTTGTCGTTTCTGCGGAGCTTTCGTGTATAGCCGCGGGCCGCAGATGCGAGGGTAGTGGTGTGGAAACGCAGAATTCATTGGGACGACAAAACTCGATGTTTATTCTCCGGTCGCGGTTGGGTGCCTGCAGAGGGCGCGCGGGTGACGAGAGGAGATGCGCCGAGCCGACGCGGACCACGTGAGACGACGGAGAAGAGAGCGTGGGCGAGGTAACGGCGGGAAGGGGCGGGGAAGAAAAGGGCAGCAAAGATACGAGGAAACGGGCATTCGCTCGCTCCCTTACAGCCGTTGGAAGCAACGCTGCTTTTGAGGATAAGACACGTAACACTCAACTAATCAAACCGTCAAGTTATGTGGTGAACAATTTACATTACTTTCCAGAGTGCTGTCAATCCAGTGACTTACAAACCGACGGTAGAAACAATGGTTGTAGTCCACTCGTTTCAAAGTATATCGACACTATCGACATTATATCGAAAACTTCTGAATTGAAAATTTAACTTTAATTGCTGATTAGCGGGTTCGAAAATATTTTTTCCTCCCTATGGAATATTTCTTTACCTACGATAAGAATGTAAAACACGAACTATGAACTATTTCTTCGTAAAGAAGATAATCAAGATAGTATTGTTGATGGCCTAATTGTTATTTAGGAAACTAGTGCAGAAAATGAATATTTAACATACGAAGAATATTTAAGACATTAGTTACCATTTGGAAAACATTGGACTAAGATGCAACCCAGTGTTCGATTCCCGGTCGGGGCAAAAATAGTTGTAACTTCCTTTTACAGTCGCCTCAGTTTCTGTAGCTGCATGACGAATAAAAGCTCAGGCATGTGGAGATTACTAGTTGCGATGAAGGGAATAAATCACATTCGCCACTTGGCCCAGGCATGGGGGACACCGTTAGCTAGCTGGCAAATTCGGACAATCGATCCAAAATGACCAATACATGCATACATACATACATACATACATACATACATACATACATACATACATACATACATACATACACACATACATACATACATACATACATAATTGTAAGAGACTAAATACGCATGTAAGAAGTATTGTACCTCAGCTTCTGGGTAAATGACCCCATCTTCATCATTTTTTTCTTCACTTTCCCTGATCCTTTCAGCAAATTCTAAGATGGCCCCCTCTTTATCTTCACGATAAAATGTAGCTTCACTATCGGTGCACGTTCTCTTAACCTCTGGAAAATGTAGATATTCAAATAACCGTTCTCCACTTTTTTCTGCTGATTTGTATTTGAAAATAGATTCTATTACACTGGAACGAATATTCGTACACCAATTCTTGCCACAAACGCTCGCTGCTACCTATATTCATAATTCAGTACGTATATGACTTCGGACAGAGATTAAGAAACTGTGCGCACACATTGCACTTCTTCCCAGACAGCGACTGAATTCGACCTACTATTTATGAAGCTAGTGTCGAAAATCCTGCCCCTGTGGGGACCGAACCTAAGATCTCCTAGTAAGAGGCACTGCAGAGACATCAGTTGCGCCCTGAGCTACCTCTCGGAACTGTTTGAATCTCAAAGAAATGCACAAGTGATCACTGTAAGTCTGTGATGACTACGATTAATATCTTTTAAAGAAATCACATACGAATTAGTTCAAGTAAGAATAGGAACTGGTAGATACTCGTAGAACAGTTGGAGTCAAGCGTGTCACGTTGAACATTGCCTTCTCTGCCAAAAATTGAAAAATGGTTTTGGAAGAAGTGGATGGATAAAAAAATGTGGTTGGTTTACGGTTTTAACTGGAATACTTTGTAAATATGTGCATGGAAATGTACCACGGAGCGTTCGTGATGGTGCGGAGGAACTGATTTTGGACCTCTTGAATTTGTTTGACATTCAGTTTGGCAGCGCTGATTGACACTAGGCTTTCATGTAATAATATTGGTCTTATAGTTTTGTGAAGTAGTAAAACAGTGTTGTATGGTATTTTTGCAGATGTTGTTTACTAGTTTCAGTCGGTGAAGTTTAATTATTGCTTGTATAACTTGATTATTTATATGATTTTTCTAATTGAGGTGGCTGTAGATATTCACGGCAAATCCTTCGAGAAATTTAAAATTAACTACGACATCACATTCGAGCTACAACCTTCACCGTCGCGCATCCGAGCAAACCCGAATCCTATGCTCAAATCTAGGCAGTAGAAATGCAATTAGAAAAAAATATCTCGGGCAAAGCAAAACCCGTTTCATCTTTCTCTCTGTCAGTTTGTTGCACATACTAGGTGGACAAACAACTGGATAACTCAACCGACATTAAAATAAGCATTGGCGAGACCAATTACTATTACAATATTTAATGTGTATATTGTTGCTCAAAAAAGTGTTGGTTGATTGGTAGATTGAAGATAAATTCTCATTCGCCTATTCTTTTGCGAGTAGATATTCCAGTCGCTCTTACACCTTGATTACCAAGATTCACCCTTGAGTGTTTACATTTCCTACCAGAGGTCAATACAGAGTATAATCCAGAATTCTCAGTGAGAGCGTAGATCTACCGCCACTATGAGATCTTCACACAATATGTGCAAGAATTTCTTTTGTGCTAACATTTCATCACAAAAACAAATATTTATTTATTTAACAACAAAACAGTTAGAAACTGTGTGTGATATACTATGGAAATTTTAAGTGTACTATGTGCGCGTTTTCTAAAATTCTGGAATCCCTACACCACATACAAGTTGAATTATAAATATAGGTAGAGGGGAAGGGTTTAGGCAAAAATTCATAAAAATAATTAGTAGTTTTAAAATGTCCTCGAGAAGAAGTGTCAGAAAAAATGTCTAATTAACAATTATTGAAAAATGGATATCTGAAAACATGAGCAAGATGAAGTAGTGTAGCAAATCTGAGAGGTCATATCATTATGAAAGTATTACCAATAGCTTGATTTAAAGTATTTCATTAAGAATAGCACATCCCAATTTAATGCGCATATTTTGAGTTTTTATGCATATTTCATTTTTGAATGCGGAAATTCATGAATATTTTGATAATTTTAAGTGTATTTTGACCTCTAATTATAATAAATGGGGTTCACTGGGGGTGCCAGACATGCCCACGCGATTACTGTTGTCACAAAACAACCTCGCGCCTGAAAGCCTGCAAAAAGTAAGCCTCACTCTACGTACACATCATTTTCGTAGGTGAAAGTCCCTTTCGCAACAAAGTGAGTGCAGCTGAAAGAAAGAACCACTGACAACATACCACTAATGAAAATAAACCGGAGCTGTGAATGAAGGGTCACAAGAAGGTCTGTGTGTCATCCCACTGGTTTCACAGAACGCTGCACCACCGAGTCGTCAGAGTTCTCCCCGTCTTTCCGCCTCAACTTCTGTGTGCCTGCGTGTCCACCCGACGCAGAGTCCGTGTTTCAAACATGGCGTATCAGCTCCGTCGAAACGAGCTCCCCGCCGACTCAGTGAAGCCTAATTGAAGCTCGTAGGTAAAAACAAAAGCTCGTTACCTTCAAAGGCGTGCCGCGCGTGCAGTCTGGAGGGCTGTCGTCGGGGAGAAGTACCGGTCCGCCTCCGCCGCCGCTGCAGACCCCGCGTCGCCCCTCCGTGCTCGCTGACGCCGCGAGTCTCTCAAGTGGAGGGTACCACCGCCCGAGTCCCCTCCACCCCCTCTGCCCCTCCTCTCCGCCCCGCCCTACTTCCCCTCCTTGCCATCCTCGCGCTACTCACCCTCCTCACGACCATCCCCGTCTTCGCCCTCTTCGCCCTCTCCGTTCTCATCATCTACTCGCCCTCCTCACCCGTCACTCTCCTTGTCCTCCTCGCCATTCTGTTCTGCGTGACCCTGTACTTCTTGGCATCTACACTTTTTGAATTGTTAATCACTAGCTACGACCCGCCTTTGAATGGGGGTCACAATGCAATCGCGCTTCACTGGTTCCATCAAGGCGATGTGTGCGAAATTGTACCAGAGCACTAAGGACAGTGCCAGTAGCGAGGAGAATTGTTCTTACTGGGCAAACAAAAAATCTCTTCATGGTTGAATAAAAGGATTCTCTGACGTGGATGTTGTAAACGTTCAATTACTGAAATCAGTTGTAATCCAAAACTTATACCGCAAAAATTATCAACCTTTGTGTATTGTCATTAATCCTTTTCTAAATTGTGTAGTCCAGTACCCACTCGTCGCTGTCCCTCCTCTATCCACTGGTTTCACACACGCAACATTGTTGTATGCTTGCCGTGTTTGAGTGGCAATGTCACAGTACGACAAAACTGCTTCCTGGAGTCCGATCCTTCTTCTCAGTTTCAACTCACTCAGATACTGATATTGAGCACTTTGGTGTCCTCTTGGGTCCGACACTTGCTTGCACGTTTCCACGTCGTTTGACGGCTGTGTAACTACACAGTTTACTGTGGCGTAAAACTGACCTGACCTGACACACAAAGGAAGGCCACTGCTAGGCCAACGTGCACGCCAAATTTATACAAATTTAATCATTTCTTATGGATACACTTTTCTACACGTCCACCGATTTCTAAGTGACTCCGACCATTCCTTCTGGGTGTTGCAAGTTTCACAAACACCAGTGCATTTAAGTCGTATTGTGATGCGCTGATACCTAAAATAGGACTACTATTACAGCTAGACTACTATTAATAAATGAACCTGCAAAATCTTACCAACCAGCTTTGAGATTCACCTTCAAGAAGTCATAACTGGCACGTCATTCATGTTACTCCCACCCGCCTCACAGCTGAATACAGCCTTTCGGACGCATTAAAAAGTTGAATTAACATTTGCAGTTTTCAAAATTCAGAAATTTTCATTTGCATTATTTAAATATAATTTTAGAAGAACATATTTCATTATAGAAAAAGATCTCTGTGATGAATGCTATAATTTATCAATGTGAATTATTTGTTTGACATTTTTGAAATTACAGAGTTCACTGAATATGGTACCTCCGCCATTTTCACCCGTCCTTTGCTCTACTTGAGAAAAAATTACAGAAAAAGCATGGAGCGGTTTTGAAACAACATTTTCTTTTATAAATTGCATTTATTTCGAGCAAAATTTTTACGGCAGAACTACTCGAATTGTCAAAAAATTGAAAATGATCTTATTTAAATGTCAATTTTTTTCAAAAACATTTCATTAAGTACAATTTTCTATCCATATTGTATGTTTGCGGTGTTAATTTTTTGCAGTTTTTGAAAATACAGAGTTCTCAAAATGTGAGGCCTGTATCACAGTAAAATATGTAATGGTCTATTCCAGGAACATATCTCAAAAAAACTGTGGAGTTTAAAAAATGAGAATTTTTTTTAAAAATTGCTGATATTTCACGCGGAATTAATAAAAAAAGTACTCATATTTTCGAAGAAATGTATCTGACCTTATTAAACGATATCTTCGAAGAAAATATTTCATTACGAAAAAAATGTTTTCAATATTGTACAAAGTCGCCGAAAATATTTTCAACTTTTGCGATTTTCGATATTTTAGAAGGTTCAACGAAAATGAGACCTATACCATGTTTTTAAACGCACTTTGCTTTATACCAAGAAATAATTAAAATATTTTAAATAAATCGTTATGAAACAGGAATTTTTTTTATTTCTAAAACTCCAAAGAATTGTTGACTGCGTATCCGTGTATACTGAACTATGTTACTGCAGTAGTCGTGAAGTTTATTTATGATAAAATATTCAATTTATTGCAGTGTTATATGAGAGTATTTTGTTTGTGTGAGCAGTACGCAAGCTGCCTTTCGCCCCTCGCCGGGGCTTGCGTTTGTATGTGTATCGCTTCCAGATGGTCTCGCTGGCCGTTCGCCCTCATCCCCGCACACCCTGTGCGTGCCATCCAACTAGGGCAACGCCATCCCCGCTGACGCACAGATGAACTGGCCCGGCAATATATGAAGACCGCATACGCCCACAGAAATGATCGCTCGTTTTTCATTCATCCTGAGCGAGATAGTGTTTGACAACATCCCAATGTACGGTTGCCCTTGTGTTGAGCAGGAATCGACGCTGTATAGTTTCGCGAGCGAATCACCGCCAGTCTGTCTGCCTTCTCTGCCGCCGCCGCCACTGCTGCCTGACACTTCTCCCCAACCTCCTCATGGCGGCGACTGAGTGCTGAGAAGAGCAGACGCTGTAGGAATGTTACATTTATAACAAGGGCACAGAATAAACTTCTAATAAACAACCTGGTACTCATCTTTCTTTCGTAACATTCTCTTTCCCCTCTTCATGACACATGCTCAAAGCAAACTAATCGGGAATCATATTTCAATATTTCCGCTCAATATCAATAAGGGGATACATATAATCAAGAAGAAACATTTAATTTGATTACTATTTTTTGCAGGGAATGAATGTTTTTCTTTAAAGTATTTTTTAAAACTTTCTATGTATTAGGATGTTCTACCGCGCAACATTGCAAAACGCATCTTGAGCAATGTCACAGATCTCCAACAAGTATGTATCTGAATAGAACCGTTTCTTAGCCAATCCCCAGCAGCGTGAGAAGGGACTCGAAGAGGCTTTACACAGGCAAAATCAGGGTGAAGCCACGAGGGGTAATTTGGAAGGATGAAGCTTAAAACCGTGAGGAATTAATGATTGGGAAACTTCTTACATTTAGCTCATTTTCCCTCCCTCTTTATTCCTTCAAAGAGCGCATTAGTTTCCGTAACGAATCAAGTCCCCCACAAAACTCATTTTCCAGGGAAGAAGCGGAGAGAAGAGGCGTCGCCGTTTGCTTCCTGCCTTGACTTCGATATACCCTTCGCTGTACGTCACTCTCAGCCACCCTCGTCGACCCTAGCGCCTCGGCGATCTAATTCACAGAAGTTGCACGTCTGGAATGTACGCCCAATCACACTTTGGGATACTGGTACAATTCATTAAGAATATTGAGCAATATTTTCATAACAAACACGAAAGCTGACCTGCACTAATATACCAAGCGGGAGTTACAGAGGAAGAATTAGTAAAACACAAACAAATCGATTAATTATATATGCATAACAAGACAAATTAATATGACATTTTCTTAGTTCGATATTTTTGAAATGAAATAGATGAGTTCATATTAAAACAAATGGAATACGTTCATTAGTGATACACAGCCAAAGTTTCGCTACTCGAATCTGCAAAGTAATAATACTCACATGGTTAACTCATTTGCAGAAATGTCTATACAAAAGGGTACAGGTTTTAGGTTGTAAAACACATTCTTGTTTATCACATTTATATCGTATATCCTTGCTTAATACTCAAAACTATTGTTGGTACTCGGGTTCGTAGGTCGCCCACGTAGTTTCTATAAGCCATAGTTTTGTGTCATTCACAACCTAAAAACGGTGCTATTAGTGCAACGAAGGTGAAATCCTGATCGCAAATGTGATTTTTAGCTTGGAGTGTAATATGTTCATTGATTTTGCTTCCTCTCATGTCCAGCGGAAACTCTCAATTTATCTCTTGATTTTAGTAAGTTTTCTTTCATATTTAGAAGCCTTATCACTTCTACGACCATTTTTAATAAAAAACATATTCGCGAATGGTTGTTCCATATTATTCGGGGTTGACTGGTACAGTATCAATCATTTATCAATTATTTATAGTTCAAATGTTTGGAAGGGGTTCTGGAACTCACGAAAATGTGCGCAGTTGATTTTCTCCCCCGTACATCACAACTGTTTTTTGACGAAATAAATCAAATCTTCGGTCATCTGACTATCTTCACACAATAAAACGATTTTGCTGATAGTTTTATTCGCCCATAGGATTAGGAACATTTTCGAGGCTATCTCAATATTCTTGGTGAAAAGTTCTAAATTTATTTAGTAAAACTCAATGGGTAATTAAGATATCTCTTCCTGAAGAGATCCATTGCCTGTAAATGGCCAATTTGTAATTCGTTCTATTTTTGATTAATTTATTTGAAAATGCCTACAAGTGTTTCCCAACATTATCTTGCATCGACCTTTTTTAAAATAATGACTTGCTTCATGGACCCCCCTGACGTTTTTCTATAACACAGCAGGCGCGTCAAACTGCGTCCGCAAGAAATTGTTACCCGTCTGAGAACCTCGGCGCCTTTGCGGGCACAAGCAATTTCCTCAGTCTTCCCTCTCCCTTATCCCCAAACCTACAACGGAGTGTATGAGCACTGCCTGTGCTCTTTTAGTATTGACGGCGACACGATGGTAAGTGGTAGCGGGGAAGGTCAGCGCAAACTGTGCTCCAAATATGAAGAATGGTTACAGAATGTCCAGTTTTAAGCAGCATTTAAGATGGCGACGCACAATGTTTAATTTAAAAGCATATTATTTGTAAAAAAAATCTACGTCCAACGTCAATATGAAGAGTATAATTCCTATACATATAAAAACATCACGGAAGAGGCCAGAACGAGAATGGTTCATGAATTATTAACAATATTTGAAGCTGTAAGAACGAAATTTAAATTACTGCAATTATGAAAATCGAATATTGTGTCAGTAGCACAATATTAACAATTTTTTTAACTTTTTGTTTTTCAATTGAAATTAAGATATTGGAGTTTTCCAAAATTAATTGTATTTTTCCTTTTCTTTTTTTAGAATAGTGCTTCTTTAGATGGGTATCACGGAAAACTTCTTAGGGCTAGCTACGAAATTGTCCAGAAATTGTTTCTGGAAACCTTCCTTTTTCTTCAAGTAATGCTATCAAAGACTGTATTGTAGAGCGGTGTCAGTTTTTTTGTAGGTCGGTTGGACTCTAAAATATAATCTAAGTGCAACAGGTCCATTTTCGCAATTCATTGCTTCGTTCAACAAAAGACACTCTGCGCCAGGTCACTCAAAATGAATCATCAGGTGCGCTGGCTGAGCAACGGAAAAACCCTTTTTTAGCTATGATAGCATGTTTACGAATTCTTAAATGAAAAGTGTATACATCATCCCCAGATGACAAACGATAAATGGATTTCTGACATGATTTTTTTTGGCGAATTTTATGGGTCACCTGATTACATTAAACATGCAATTACAAGGAAGTGTTCATTTCATATCTCATTTAAAGGAAACTATGGAGAGATTTAAAGTGAAGTTAATCTTGTGGAAAAACCGGAATACAAGCAAAGATTTCTACCATTTTCCAAATTTAATATCTCTTGTTGTTGATGTTGCTAAGATGTTGACACGGATAAATATGACCAGATTTTGAAAGATGAGCTAGATGAGTTTAATTACCGTTTTCAAGACCTCAAATAAAGGAAAAGTTAGAAATATGTGCTTTGCCATTTCAACAGAAACAAGATGATGCGTCAAACAACTTACAATTAGAAATCATTTAACTACAATGCAGCAGATTACTTCTGCGAGAATATAAAGAAGATTTATCAGTTATTGTGTCCTGGTTTTCCGAGCATTCGAAAGTTTGCTGGAGAAATTATTTCAATGTTTGTGAGCATTTATAGATACTAGCTTTTTTTGGCAAATGCGTCTGAACAAAACTGCACGGAGGTCACGTGTGACAGAATCTCATTTAAGGTCCGTTATGAGAATAGTGTCCAGCAAAGCTGTAAAACCAAACATTGAGAGAATCATTTATCAAAATCTACAATTTCATGAGTGCGATAATGTTTTCCATTAAACAATAGTGTTAAATTATTTTTATATTACTTATTAATTTATTTTATATTTATTTTCAATATTTAATTCTATCTTGTATAATCGTTTTTGTTATCGCAGAATAATACAAAAAAATTGGCAGGTTTATGTTTCAATGGCAATTTTTTTATTTTCATTTGTGTAATGCTTTATTAAAGAATTGTGTCATTTGATGTATTAAATCATAATGTGAAATAAAAAAACTACTGAAGCAACTCTGACGTTTCTCTCCGCTTGTAAAACCTCTCATAAAACCTAGATTTAGGATATCACTCTTACTGGCGGACAATATGCTTTGTTTCTAAATTGAAGGTTGGAACTACTGCGTAGGAAGTATTATTAAAGTAATAACTGTACTCTTAAGTAAATGCAAAGTCAAAATTGTTTGGATTGAATATTTAACCTTTTTCTCATTTGAAAAGTGAAAATATTAAAAGATTTGTTATAGTACATTAAATGGGAATTCTAATAACTCACTTTGAGACAATACCTCAACAGAATTCTCCAAACGACTGCCTTGTGCCAGGTATCGAGTGAGGTACTCCTCCCCCATTTACAAGCCTTACTGTTGAAATTAGTGGAAGCTGTTCTGGTCGCTGCGCCCTTGAGCTCCAGGAAGCTCTTGACCGTGCCCGCGACCTTGATATGCCTCATATACAGCATACAAAATACTCATAACACAAATAATTGCACATAAAAGACTTTATATAAGTTAAGCAAACAATAAACTAGTGGTCCTTCAGAATAGCACAGACTTTCTCGAAGAAAGGTTTTCTAATTTCCTTCGTGAGGTCTGGATCTGCCGTCTAGCCCAGTCCTGCCCCATCCTCTTGCCAGCTGCCAGTTACGCCCAAACTTCATTTTTTAAACATTTTCTCAATTTTTCGGTTTCTTACTAGTGGAATCAAAATATTAATTTAAAAATATTAAAGAAGAGTAAAACTTCGCCATAAATAGCAATTTATATTTTTTTTAATTGAGCCATTTTGAAGAAAATTGCGTCTAAACGGTACTGTAAATGCGAAATTTAAAGCTTTTTTTTGAAAATGTTTGAATAGTCCAAAATGACTGTTATGTCATTTTAAACGCTGCAATTAGCACAATCCGTTGGAAAAGTTTCAAGAAAAGATTTGAAGCCATTTTTGACAAAATGGCGTTTGAGCGTGTGTTTGTTTGTTGAAATGCAGAATATTGAGCTCATTTGTATAGAAAATAAAGTGCTCATTCTAAAAGATTTTTCAAGAAACATTATATGACACTATTTAAATCACATGTACTCATAAATACAATCTTGTAAACGAATCGCCATTAATGTAAATATTAACCACGTGAGAGACAACTAAACAAATTACATTTACGACGGCGTTTACGACATGTTAGAAAGTTCATTTAGCACTATCTCTACCAAAAGTTTAACCTCCGCGCACCGTTTTCATTCTAATAATAAAACTTATTTGTTTTACATAACTTGGAATAACAACGAGAGAACATAAACAATGAAAACATGTCCTTATTTCAAAATATACCTGTAATAAACAGATTTGATTAAGGGGAAATCTCTATCTTTGTAATTAATATAGTGGGACGAAGACGCCGAAAAAACTTCCAATAATTGCAATTTTCAATAAATCAGGGTTTTCAACAAAAATTAAACCTAAAACATTCTCTTAAACGTCCTACACACTATCCAACAAAGAAATGTAATCAAAAATGTAGCTATTTTTTGTAAATTTTGAAAATGTCCCAGGTGTTTCAGGCAAAGTACCCCTCTAAATTGAAATATCGGTTTCAAATTCAAGAGGCCGGGACATCATTTAGATCAATTGGAATATATCAGTTTTGGAGAAAATCAGCTGAACGGTTTGGCTACTAGCGTTGTTCACAGACGGAAGAACAGACACGTTTTGCCGACTTTCGATTTTCAGGTGTCAAGAGCCCACTCACATGGATTCTAGCTACACCATGTGTTAGAGGATATTTGCCATCCGGAGCAACTGGATTATTCTAATTTTGATCGTTATGTTTTCATACTTAAAAGATCTGGTGCAAATATTATAACCAGAACTCGCGCGTTGTAAAATCAATAACAAACACACCTTTACTTTCACATTTCTCTCTCAGAACTTAACAAACGGTTAAAGTAATCTCCGCTTCTGCTATAACAATGAAGAAGTATCAATAAACGAATACCTAAAAAGAATTCACTACTGAAGCGCAACATTTCATGTAATTATGAAAAAAGTTCCACTGTTGTACTATTTACAACAGCGCGTGTGCTCGAAGGTTAAAGAAACAAATTGGAGGCGTTTTTAAAAAATCTTGTATTTGTAATTTTTTAAAAATGCGAATATTACACGCAATGTTGCGCGAAAACCACTAAAAGTTTGAAAAAAATGTTCATGACCTTAATTAAAGAACTAATTTGGACAACTAATGGAAAACTAATTTGGGGAACAATAATGGACAACTAATTTCATTTGAAGTAAAAAATCTCTATCTTCAATTTTGTAGTTGTGGGAAGATGCCCTCCCCCAAAAAAACTTACAATTTTCGAAAATTCAGAGTTAACCGTAAAAATCGAACCTATGCGACCTTTATAAGTATATTTTTTTAATATTACAAGAAATTTAAAGAAACAATTTGGAGCCGTTTTGAGAAAATTGTGAATTTGGGGCCACTAAAACGTATATTTCCGTTGAAATCTCGAAATCGATTTTCCGCAGCATTACCAAACTTTTCTATACTACGTATATACTCACTATGTACGTACGTATACGAAAAAGTAAAAAGAAAATTTGAAAAAAGTATATAATTTTTATGATTTAATTTTTTGTACAATTATACATTTCTTCAGAATACTTAGCGTTTCCCGTGTTCCAACAACTTGGTTCTTCTCATCCGATGCAAGCAGAAAGAACCACGAGAATTTTCAATAGTAAAGTCGGTCTCTCAAATTTTCCCTCATTTATTGACTTTATTCGATGTCTCTAATTACCCCAATCATGTCGAAAATTCGCGCTGCTCTTCTGAATTCTCATCAAGAACCACGTGATTAGCGGCTGGATATCTTATCACCTGCAGACTATCTTATGAGCTTCAGCTCAAATCAAAAAGGTATATTTAATCAAAAGACACATTTTTAATACAGCAGTTTAAAGAGAATTCCATTTAGTCTTTGAAAATGAAAGCTTATTTTAGCGAATCTCATTATCCCTCTGATAAATATTGGAACACCTTTCGTGGGCAATTTGAGGCATCTGGAAAGGATTCGTGCGCATTTCCCCTTACTCGTGAACTATCTTCCCTCCTTGTCTCATCTTTTGTGAGGAAATCGGATGTGTTGTAAATTGTGAGAAGGTAAAGACGACATGTACTGTCAAGGAAGGGAATGTTGCGTCGTGTTCTTTATCTGAGGATTAGACGTAATAATCCTGGATCTAGCCTCATCATTACGTCAAGAGGAAAGAAAAAGTACAAAGGAATGTAAGAAACTTCATAATTTTAAAAATAGATCGTTAAATAGGTTCAAAATAACAATAACAATAAAATGTATGTATACTATCCAACAAATAGAATACATATCATGTTGTAATGCTTTATTGGCTAATGAAACATGATATTAACTGTTCCTGTTCATGTAAAGAACTTCATTTTAAAAATGTCTTCCCTTTAACCATTAATATGATACCATAACCATAAATATGTTTCTAGAATCAAAAAGAAAACTTACCATTTTTGTGACAACTAAAAAATAAAAGCATAAAATCGAATTATAAGCATGGCCTAAAATTAACATATGATTAATTTGCTCGAGACATTGAGTCTTTGATGATAATTACAATTTAAAAATCATTGTAATTGTTCTTTTGAGAAAACTGTTGCAACGTCCGTAACAGATCCATGCGCAAGTGTTTACATCAATATACAAAACCCGTCATATTCGATAAATCCACATCATCCCCCAAATTTCGAAGTATTATTAGCGTGTCGAATGTGAGCTTAAAAAAATACTATCCCTGCAAGTTAATTGGGTCTATCATAGACGT